TTTAAGTTAGCGAAGTTCGGTTGTCTAAAGTTGTACTTTGTTGTAAACTAACAGTGATAAGTATTATATTGGAACAACTTAATACGTCTCTTAATTTAAAACAAATGAACAATAAAAACTCTCTTAGAAAAAAAAAATATATCTCAAACTAACATATGATCTTCCCAAAAATCAATTTTGAAACCCAATGTTGATTTATTTGTTTAGCACATAAAACAATTATCAACCTTTAAAAAAAAATACTATTTCTAAACTGCTTTTGATGAATATAATTATTACTCCTTTCATCCCAAAACAAGTGTCCACAATGAAAAATAGACATAGTTTTAGGAAAGTGTGATTATTACACTTTTAGTAAACTAAATAAAAGTTTTACCCTTAATAATATAATAAATAATTAATTTCTCCATCTCATAACTAAGACTCTAAGAGTAGTAGAGTAGGAAAATATACACTAGTTTTTTAAAAGTGGACATTTATTTAATTTTGGGAAAAACTAAAATAATAATCTAAACATTTATTTTAAAACGAATAGAATAATAAAAGTTAAATTTATCGTGAACTTGCTTAACCAACATAAATATTTTTGCACATAAAATTCTAAGGTTCCAACATTAGGGTACCAAATGAAAAAAAAATCAAACATCAAGAGCAAAATTGAAAACCTAAATTAAAATAGAAGGACCTATTCTATATAGTTTGGAAACTTAGGAAATTGGTGGATTAATGAAAGTGGCATATTGGAAACTGGGTGGAAATTCCCTACTCTCTTCCCCATTGCAAACCAAACCAAACTACACAGGTTGGTCCTTCGTTTGTTTGGATTGGGTTGGGTTTAAATAAAAGTAACTTAATATCAACTCAACATCTTTAGTTTAAAGATTTTACAACTTAATTAGATATCGAGTTGTTTCGGATTGATTTATTTCATGTTAAGCTGGGTCGGATTGATCGGTTTTTGAACACTCCGACTAGAGCATGCTTAGATATTAACATATTATTGTCTTTTAAGTAGCGAAATCAAATTGAAACATAATTTAAAGAATAATTGGCAATGGTTCGTTTAACAAACTTGTAGCAAAATAATCGTTTTGAGTAACTTATCTAGCTTAACATGTATATAGTTTAATTTTTGACTGCGATAGGTGTTGGCAAACCTCTGAAAATAGAAGGAAATAGTTGGGTATTTCGACGAATTACATGAATCCAATTGAATGACTAATGCACTTAAAACATGTAATATTCAACAAATATGCAGTAAAAATGTAACACCCTAAGAATTAAAATGACAAGCCCAACTAGGGAAATCTGGATTAAAGCCGAAAATTATACAACCAAGAATTTTCCAAAAATTTTAAATGATTAAAATCCCCGATAAAGGTGAGAGTTAAGCGTTTATACAAAAAGAGACGATGGCTAACAACCTACTAATCTAGCAGTCCTAAGTCTAGATTATGGTCGGGTGTTCCCATCAACTCCAACAACGCATAATTGATTTAGAATTTCGCCCAAAGTCTCCAAGTACATTGACTACAAAAAAGGACTACTACAAACGTCACTCTTCTCAACCTTTCGCTACCCTGCCACTAAGGGAACCTGCTTAACAAGTCAAGCAAAGAAAAGTTAGGCTTACGCCTAGTGAGTTCAAACAATAAGCCGAGTGCAATAACCAGATTCAACATGCAATAAAAGACATTTACATAAATATAACGGAGCATTGAACGGTTGCAATAAATATACAGTGAACGATTTAAAATATACGAGATGGTCAAAACATCCGAGGATGACGGGGGAGACCCGGTTTTGCGTTGATTTGAGACGAAACACGAAGTAAGTCGTAGATCAACGTTACAAAGCATCACTTACAGGTTCAACACCATCGACATCAACCTAGCCAGTCATGTAGTCGGTCGTGATCTTAAGCTCTTTGCCTCGGAAATTACATAATGATCACAATGCCTATTTCCGAGGGAAAAGGGAGAGGAGGTGGACTTAGAAGTTGCATAATGATCACAATGCCCAAATCCAAATCGAAATCACCCCTAACACCTAGTAAAGAAATCGGCTTTCGAGTCCTTCCTACTAAACATTTCGAGTAGAGGAGTTATTTAGATATAAACCCAAGTCTAAGGAAGGAAACATAAGATATCAAAGGAAATCTCAAATGGTTTTCCTAAGGTGTCGCAACACTTCTCGCAACTAGAGAGTAACTCTACATATAATCATAAGGGCTTCCACGGTTTTAGACGGATAACAATCAAGTCCCACTCTTTCAATTAAAAGAAGTAGGCCATTGGTCACCTAAGTCACTATCATCCACTGTTCCTAACCGTGGTTCAAGATCTATGATTTACTAAGTATTATGATTTAAAGCATTAAGAATTCTTGCACATATGACATATTAATGTTTTAAGTAAAACGGTATAACCAATTAGTATGAACTCACAGGGTAGGACTTAAGAATATAGTCCAGTATCTGGGATCAGACGGAGGCTGGAGGCGAGACCAGACAGTGAGGTTGGTCTAACCCTCACGGAACAGCTGCAGGTGCGTTGGAGAAGGGCCAGGTGCGGGCGGCCTGGTGCTGCACCGCAGCACAGCTGCTTGGTGCTGCGCGGTTGCAGGCGCACTAGTCACGGAGGGTACAGGGTCGGCAGCAGGTTGGGCTCGAAGCGTGGACCAGGTCTCGTGTGGGCATCGATGCAGTCGTCTGAAAGGGGCCGGGTTCGCAGCTGCTGCGTGCAGCAGAAAGAACAGCAAAAAGGAGGTGAGTCGGGAAGGAGCTTAACTGTCACCGGACAGTCCTTTGGGCAGGTCGGAGAGGGCTGTAGCTGAGCGCAGATACTCCGACCAATACAGTATGCAGAGGGGAGAAATCAACAGCATAAGGGAGGATGCGATCGGTGCTAAGATGGTTGACGGAAGTGGCTGAGAATTAAACTAAATAAGGTTTTTAGGAAGGTTTTGGTTGAGACTCTTCTTCCCCCTTTTACACTCTAAATGGCAGTACCCTCTCTGGAGTTTTTCTCGAACCCCCCAAGGCCCTCAACTTACCACTTTTCATCCAAATCTACAGTGAGGTCAAAGGGTATGGACTTAAAAACCATAATGAGGTGTCCATTCAAGGGTGAGTGACTAGAGGTATGAGCCATAGTACAATAGATAAAAGCCTCCCTCCCTTTTCTCTTTTACCCAAAAATTTAGACAATTTAAAAGTAGGTAATAAAATTGTGTGGGCAACATTAATTGTAACCTCCATTTTATGAACTGAAAAGGAGACAAGTCAAATTTTGTAACATTTACACGTATAAAACTATAAATTGTAGCTAAACATAATTGATAGTTTGTTTGTACATATCGTTATGAAATTTGGAGCATACGCCCAGAAGTGTGGACAGACATGAATTTTAATATGAAAATAATTTTAGGAAACAGATAATGTTAAAATAAAATAAGAAAAAAAACCAATTTTAAATATTTATTAGTTCTAATAAAATTAAATTTGTGTTTTGAAAATAAAGAACAAAAGAGTTTTTATTTTTATTTTTTATTAACCTGGATATCCAACCCGTTTTGCGAGTCGATTAATCTCAGGGTAACCACCTGTTTTGCAAGTAGCCCGAAGTCACCGTATTTAAACCTTCGTAGCCACAAGAAGATTTTTATTCCTCTTTGGATTAGAACCTGGGACCTCCTGACACTTTTAACATTTGGAGTCAAGCTCATACCAATCAAATACCACCCTTATAAGAATAGAAGAATTTGAATGTGTTTTTGGACATATTAATAGTTTTAGATTTTTTTTTTCATAATAAGTAATTTTATATCAACTTTAAATGTCTTTTTATTAAAGTAAAGTTTAATTTTAGTCCTTAAAGTTAAGTAAAAAGTCTAATAATACGACCTAGCTTTTGATAAATATAAAAATCATCCTTATGATTTGTATTCCATTCTAAAAATGACCTCTGGTCATTAAAAATGTTCGTTAAATAAAGGACACTTTTTATCTTTGTACTTGTTTTTCTAAGTTTATTTTAAAGAAATTTAAAATATAAGATCATATAGATTTAAAACTTTTAAAGGAAATTAGATAAGAGAACAATGGGATGTTTTAATAAACTAATAACTAGTAATTATATTCAGATCAAAAAATAAATCATAAGAATAACTTTTAAACTTATTAAAAATTCGGTTCAATTTCCAAAATTTTCTGCTTGTTCTCTCTTACTCATCGGATTGTATCTACGGTATTGATAGAGAAGGGGAAGTTCAAAGTGTTGCATGGTGGAAGAGTTGGGTTTGAACAAAGTAAATCGACGAACAAATCAAAGACCGAGTTGCAACTTCACTGATTTGGGGCGTCAAATCCAATAAGTGGTGTGATGAGAGAAGGATTGTCGATAATGGCTGATGATAGATGGTGTAAGGTGACCGATGATTGTCGAAGGAGGCAATGCTGGTTGGTGCGATGCTTCAAAATATGAAGGAGATAATCAGAGATTTCTTATGAGACAGTCGACTATTTCAAGTGATACTTTGGTTTTCATTTCAAACGGAGTTACACAAGAAGAGGAGGTTTTAGGTTGTTTGGAATTTTGATATGATTTTAGATTTTGCTTTTTGTTTTGGTTTGTATCTTATTTTAATCTCTGTTTTTATACTTACATAGTTGGTCCCTATAATTTGATGGTATTTATAAAAACAAGAAAAAAACAATAAAAACGTGCAATAAAAGAGGAAAAACATGGTTGAATGATTTTACGCCTAACGGAGTTAGAAGTCAGGTCCTACTTTCAAAACAAAATTCATATCTATAAGATGAAACTCGATTTATTGAAATCTAGATCCCACTTTTAAGGATTTCACTAAACCTCAAGGACCAAAACTGTAATTTACTCTAAAACCTATATTATCCAAACATGCGCTACACGTGTTTGAAAAGGAAAACATTGGCCTGAAATATCAATCGAGGAAAAGGACATTGCGGTCATTGCACACTCATACTGGAGTTGAAAACGGAGAGATCAGAACTGCGGCCAGTAAGCTCGAAGTCGATCATGGCTTCCTCATCAGCATGGAGATGGACATGGCACAACTCATCACCAAAAAACTCATCCTTAATCGCATCCTCCTCCTTCAATTCGCCTTCCATTTCCGTTTATCCCTTCATCTTCACTCACAGACAACGGTCTTCTTTCATTTTTCCTCACAATCAGCATCCTTCTCCGTCCTCGTGTTGTAGTGCCGAACCTAATAATGCAAAAAAGAGATTAAGGAAATCTGATAAAAAACTTCAGATCGGAGAAATTTCAGTCAACGACGACGTGTCTGTAAGTAAAAAGGACCAATTACCCAAGAAGAGACTGAATCTGAACTACAAATCATTATTTGGAAGGCGTGCGTTATGGAGAAGGATATTTTTTGCATCGAAGAAAGTCCGGAGCATCCTTTTGCTCAATGTCATTACTTTAATTTACGGTAAATCTGATTCTTTTTTTCTTAATTTCCTTTCCCCTTTCCATGTTCATTCTTGATTCGTTGATCTTTCAGAGTATTAGAAGAGATAATAGATCTATCGTGTGAGCGTAATTACTAGTTTACTGCCTCAAGATTTGCTTAATTTAGGACTAGTATTTGTGTTTCCGACATAAAAAAAGGCGTTGCTCCGGCTCCTATCGAATTGATCGGCTGCGTTCTGGTGGTGTATGGAAATTCATCTCGGAGAATTGATTTTCATTTTGATAGATTAATACCCTGTTTTGAAATTTAATCTTATAGTTGTCAGATGGAAACCCCTATGAGGCCCTAGTGCAACACTTCAATTTCTAGATCTGAGCCTTTGGTCAGCAAGAACAGAGTTTATGTGCATGCATGAAAACATCATAAATTGGTCCAAATCATCATCCGTATGTGTTACCAGATAAAAAAGACATTTTCAGCCGAAAGTCATTAAGCAAGCCTTTTAAATTATTTGTTTTAAATGTTATAGCTAGTGACATACCAGTGTTGAAAGAGGTTGAAGCAGTCATGGACCCTGCAGCTTTCACTGCTGTGAGATTTGTTGTTTCGGCCATCCCATTTCTACCATTTGCTTGGAGAGCTTGGGGTGACGTTCAAATTCGCAATTCAGGAATTGAGTTGGGCTTGTGGGTCAGCTTAGGCTATCTCATGCAGGCTCTTGGACTGGTGACTTCTGATGCTGGGCGTGCATCCTTTATTTCTATGTTTACTGTAAGAAGCTCATGATATGATTTGTAAGTTAAACAACTATTCTGTGTAAACGCCGTGGATTTTAATGATATGATAATATGACTAAACCAGGTAATTGTGGTTCCCTTAATTGATGGTATGCTAGGAGCAGTCATTCCTGCTCGTACTTGGTTTGGAGCTCTTATGTCCATTATCGGGGTTGGAATGCTAGAATGCAGTGGCTCACCTCCATGTGTAAGCATTATCTAACAAGTTTTTCATGCTACCTCTGGATATCCTACTGTATTAGCATACATAATATATAGATGAAGGCATGAAGCCACCTTCAAACACACTATTTCTGTGACCTGTAAATGAAGCTTTCGTTAAATTTGCCAGGTTGGTGATTTGTTCAACTTTTTAAGTGCCTTATTCTTTGGTATACACATGCTACGAACTGAGCACATATCAAGGAAAACAGACAAAGAGAACTTCTTGCCAGTCCTTGGATATGAGGTGAGTTAATTCCATTAATAAATGATCCTTCCCATGCTTCCACGATGAAGGGAACTTTTAGCGAAAAGTTTCTAATGGTTATGTTCTTGCTATTTTTTTTAATCACAATATTTTGACCTCCGAATGTATATAGGGGTGTGTTGTGGAAGCATGAGCAAAGGTTTCTTACACTTATGTTTTCTTTCTATTTTCTTTTATTAACACCATCTCAACCTTCTAATTCCTAGGTGTGTGTTGTTGCTTTGTCATCTATTATCTGGTTTTTCATTGGAAGCACAATGGATGGTAGCCTAGAGTATCATCCATCATCTTGGACATGGGCGGTGTTCTTGAAATGGATGGTCGAATTCCCTTGGATACCAGCTTTATATACTGGCGTGTTTTCAACTGGCTTATGCTTGTGGATAGAGGTAAGATATTTGAATTTCTCATGTATGCTATGTACATGTAATGGTTTTGCAAAAACATTAACGTACGATTCTTGTGTAATAGTTAACCTCTGTAAATACCATGTACAAAATCATTTAGTTTGTCACCTCACATAAGGAAATGGAGGGAAAGTTCAATTTTAATTAGAAAGAGATGTGGTGGACCATTGTGTATCAGATTGGATGACAAGAGTAGTCAAGTATGATTCTAGACAAGAATTCATAAATGTTCCAAAACTTCTGCAAGAAAAGAATCATTGCATCTGATTTAGGACATCCCAGCATGGATATTGTTGCATCTGTGATGAGATGGAGAGAAAATATTACCTCTGTTTTGCTTTTCTAAGGTAAGGGACTTCATGGTTATTAGAGAAGTGCCATGAAGTACTGTTATGTGGCAATTACATTGATTAAATGAAAAAATTAGCATGCATGTATCAATGTGTTTGTCTGCCTAGAGCTTAACAACTATCTTAGTACCTAATCCCTTCTGCTTAATTGCATGTTTGCATCTTCCTTGTAGGGGAACTGTAATCACTAATCTGTTAGTAGTCTTTTATGCTCCTCTATGCGAGGTTACTAGTTTCTTACTAAGAAAAGTGTTCTTGAGAAAGTTGGAACTATTGTCTGTTTACTTTATTGGAATGATGATTGAATATATGCAATGAGTGGATGCAAATGGACATGAAACCACATGCGAGAAAAGCCTGTGCTGCCAGGCATCTGGTATCTTGAATCCCTTGAACTAAAATATGTTTGGTCCTTCTATCTGGGAAAAGTTAGGATGCTTCATACTTTCCATTCCCTATCCTTTCTTACATCTCCAGCTAGTAATTTGTGCAGTAGGTGGCTGCATTAGACACTCAGAAGGTTAAATTACTTGTTTTAGCATTCTCACGTACTATAATCAATTAAAACAGATGACAGCAATGCGTGATATATCAGCTACAGAAACTGCAATTATTTATGGATTGGAGCCAGTATGGGGTGCTGGTTTTGCATGGTTTCTCCTTGGTGAAAGGTGGGGGGTCTCTGGATGGTTTGGTGCTGCTCTTGTTCTAGGTGAGCTCTTTTAAATCTTCTAGTTGATATAACACCTTTTGATGCATTGTTAACTTGTAATGTGAAATTGTGCAGGTGGAAGCTTAATGGTTCAGATAATTGGGGCATCATCTCCCAGTTCATCTGTTAAGAAAGAGGATGATATGATGGTTGTTACAGACAGGCAAAACGGGCTTTCTGCTTCTGCGGTTCCAGTTACCTCCAGAAAAGATGTGTCCAATCTATTGAAAAAGAAATATTAAATTTGCACACATGCATCTTACATAGTATAGGTAGGTATATGTACATAATAAATGGTTTTAGAGAAGAGTATATATATATATATAGGTTAACCAATATATACAGAAATCAGGTAATACAACGACTTAAACATGTTAGATGTATATAACCATACCATATATTGTAGCTCAAAAAATTGTAATACTCCAAATGCAAATTGCATTTCTTGAGTTTACTTCTAATGGGTAATTGTGTGTCTTTTAAAGTTTTTATTCATCGGTAAATGTTATATATCACCAATGAATAAATAAAGACCTTTTATTTTTAATTTTCTTTGGACATTCCTCGGTGATATATAAGAAAAATAATAAATATAAAAAATAAAATCTTGATCAACAAATAGTGTATACACAGTGAAGCCATAGGATACGACTGATTAATTGATGTTTTATAATTTAATGTTGGTTTATCTTTTAGGTCATATTAAATTGTATGTATAATGTATAGTGAGTGATGTATACATGATGCGATCATGTTCATGCATAGTGTATAGTCATGTATAATGTATATTGGTCATTAGATGGTGCATAAATTCATATTATAAATACATACACACTAGCTAGTGGCTACCTATACATACATACCAAAATATACACGTATTATCGAAATATATATATATATATATATATATATATATATATATAGGGGCTGGTTCAAATAGAAACCAACCATATGGTACAAACTATGTGAACCGATCTTGATCGTTCATTTTATCATCAAACGATTATTATTAAATGAGATTAAATAAACAATAATTTAATTAATGTATTAATTGATATGTGTATGAACAATTGTTCAAAGGGTAAATTGGTCAAACGGTCATTATTAAATGAGTATTAAAAAATCATTAAATTAATTGGGCTGCTTATGAACAATTGTTCACATGGTATTTTGGTAATAAATCCTCACGCATCGTGAACCCGATATTCTCCAGCCGATTTGTAACCTACGATCGATTATGAACATATTCACAACTCATGTTCACATGTCGGCCCTATGCTCATGTGAACAGCATTTGTGTCTTGCAATGTAAACACTATGTTCATATGTTCATATATGTTCACATGTCGGCCCTATGTTCGTGTGAACAGCATATGTGTCTTACAATGTAAACACTATATTCATATGGTGTGATGTTTTTCAATGTCATACCGTATGACATCGTCACGGGTTCGTGTGAACAACGATTGTGTCTTTCAATGAAAACAAGTTGTTCATATGGTGAACATATATGAACATAGACTACAAGATATGCACATATATGAACATTTTCAAAATCAAGGATCGTTGTGCATGTGTGCAGATATGAACATAGACTGCTAGCGTTTATCTTCTTCATTATTCTAACATTATTTTACAATAGAATTCTCCATGTATCTTGAACGAAATGAAAATCTTGTACACTTAGACAACCAATTTCAATATATGTATAAAATCAAATGAAATGAATACCATAAACATGAAATAATAAAGAAATCATAAAAATCTCATGAACAATTAGATGTATCTTTTAAGATTTGTAACTCCCAATTAATTATTGAGGGTTACAAAAAGGTTGAATTACCAAATTACCCTTATCATTAATTTATAATTTAGATTTGAACCTAAAGTGAAGAAAGAATGTGATTGGTCAAGATCGGTTTCCATAGTTTGTACTATATGGTTGGTTTCTATTTGAACCAACCTCTATATAGTTTGTACCAAATTACCCTTATCATTGATTATTTTTTAATACTCATTTAATAATGACCGTTTGACCAATTGTTCATACACATATCAATTAATACATTAATTAAGTTATTGTTTATTTAATCTCATTTAATAATAACCGTTTGATGATAAAATGAACGATCAAGATCGGTTCGCATAGTTTGTACCATATGGTTGGTTTCTATTTGAACCAGTCAATATATATATATATATATATATATATATATATATATAGATAGATAGATAGATAGATAGATAGATAGATAGATAGATAGATAGATAGATAGAAGCATTCAAGTAAAAACCATCCAATTTGTACAAATCGTGCAAACCTCATTCAACCAATCATAATTTTTCATTTTGTTCATTTTTTTGTAATTATGAGAGGTTGTTTAACCATTTTTATTGTGGAGGGTGTTAATCATGGATGTTATCATCTTCATTATTTTAATTTTAGAGAAATATATGAAACAGTTTCATTAAAATTTTATTAAATATTATATGAAACATATTCATAACCATATATGAAACAAATTCATCAAAAAAAGTATTATATGAAACAATTTCACAAGATTAAACAATTTCATGAAAAAATTTCATAAGAATAAACAATGAAATCGACGTATGAGGGTGGTTTGTACGGTTTGTACAAATGAGGGTGGTTTTCATTTGATCGCTCTTTTATATATATATATATATATATATATATATATATAAGGGGCCTAATCAAATGAATACTAATTAGTTTGTGGCAACTGTGAGAACCAATATTAACCACAAATCAATAGATAAATCAGGAAATTTATAATTTTGACAATTTTGAATTAAAATATTAATGCAAGGATATTTTTGGTATTTTAAAACTTTCCTCCCTCCTCTCTTCTCTCTCCGGCCACCGTTCGCCGGCCACCGTCCTCCGGCCACCGTCCGCCGGCCATCGTCCTCCGGTGATACTACAATGGTATCACAATGCATCATATATGTGCTTGGGTATCACATTGATGTCGTTTGTGTGGTCGATCGAAGATGTAACACAGTGGTATCACTATGCATCTTATATATGATTAGGTATCACAATGTATCTTTTGTTTAACAGAGTCAATATTTTTAGGTATCACAGTGGTATCATAGTGGTATCACCGGAGGATGGTGACCGGAGGCCGGAGAACGGTGGCCGGAGAGAGAAGAGAGGAGAGAGGAAAGTTTTAAAATACCAAAAATATCCTTGCATTAAGATTTTAATTTAAAATTACCAAATTTATAAATTTCCTAATTTATCTGTTGATTTGTGGTTAATATTGGTTCTCACAGTTACCACAAACAATAGGCCCCTATATATATATATATATAGAGAGAGAGAGAGAGAGAGAGAGAGAGAGGTTGGTTATTATACAACCCTTGACATTTATGCAACCAATACAACCCAATCTTAACCGTCCATTTCATTTGATTAATATGTGATTTCATAAAAGTTTTTATTGTTTCCTAATATAAAGTATTAATCATAATTAATGAACCATATTCATCTTTTATAAATATTCAAATCATAATAAATGAACTCTCATTATTTTCATAAATATCTCAATATATTGGGTTGCATTGGTTGTACAAATACGATGAATTGTATTTGAACCAAACTCTCTCTCTCTCTCTCTCTCTCTGTATATATATATATATATATATATATATATATATATATACATATATACATATATATAGAGGCGAAGTATCATGTAAGAAGAAGAGTTAAGGTAAGAAGCGTGACTCTGTGAGAAGGAATCTGGACTTTTAATCACCTTTAATCTCAAACTCATCCATGAATCGTGTTTGATATAGGTATTGATCTGGTGCATTTTATTTCAATGCATCTCATATTTTCATCGGAATCCAACCTCATACAGATACATATAAACATATAGATATTTACATTCATATAGTACACGTATATATGTGTTCTTATGTATGTCTTCGTAAATGACCAAATTTCTACTAGTTTCTTTTTTTATATATAATATTCATCCTTAAACCGTCAATAAAGTAGATTAATTTAGCCTTTTTCTTAATTAAAAGTTGTGTCCATGTTAATTATCAAATAAAAAGTTATGTTATCAAGTTTCAATTTCTTTTATTTGAAAATCCATCTTTTTCATGTTATTTTATAGTTAACTAGAAGGATACTCGCACAATGTAACGAGATATATCTTGATTTTAATGTTTCGTTTTATTCCATCCCTGTAGATGTTTTAATATGGTTTTGATAAATAAATAATGTTTTTATTTTTGAATAAAATATAAATTTGAAGATATCATAAAATTTCGAAAATAAATATATCAATATTAATATCAAATTAACTATTTAAAAGTTTTTTTTTTGTGTAATTTATTTAATTCATTTTTTGTATTATAATTTAATTTAGATTTGATAACGAAATAATTTATTTTTTATAAGAATAATTATTGAGTATTTTATTAGAACTCAATGATTATCCTAATTATATTTTAGATTTTTTATATTTAAAATAAAATGTTTATCTTGTATTTGACTATGTTTATCTGTAGTTAGTTACACGAATTCAAACATGAAGCTTTTATAAGTTGTACTTACGCACAATTTACTTGTAATCTCAAATTTTAAGTAATATGCATTAATAAACAGTACTTCATGCATAAAAATGATTTTTAAGTGTTTTTATCAAATATTTTATAATACAGTATAGATTAGTAATTTAATTAAAAAATAATTAAAAGCAAAACAGAAATGACAAGCCCAGTTGAACACTGGTAGAGACCACTGGGCCAAATTAGACATGCTTTTGCTTCCGTAGCAATGGACCTTACAACCTTCTATAGACCCAGGACAGGCCCAGGCCTGCTCAAGACCATGTTTTAATTTTTTTGAGATCTATCATGCAGGAATAAGCAGGATTCAAGTGCTCTATGAAGGTGTTTGTGATTGCTTATAAAAATAACTTATTAATTTATTTTGATGTGACATCGGTAATAAACACTTTTGAGTGTTTGGATAAACAACTTATACCGGTACCAAACCGGTAATAAAGAGTTTTTGAAAAAGTTAAACCCTTCTGACTTATAATAAGTTGATAAGTGCTTTTTGTAGAAAAGCATAAGATGTTTCAAATAAACAATCTCAAACACCTCCTATCCTTTTCTATTAATTTTCTTTTCATGTATGTCAACATTAAAACTTAATTTTTATATTTTCAACGAATAATTCAACCTGATTTTAACATAAATAGAGGTGCATATGGTAACACCATATTATTAATAAGAAATAAAAATCTACTTAAGACATGGACATAGACACAATTGGTGGAATCACATAAATCCTTTTGTTGTATATATATTTTCATTCCGTTTCATTTATTGCATGCACAACAGTGTTGATCAAATAATATTAAAGTTTTAAATCGAATGATTCCTTAGTAAAGTAAAAGTAGTACA